TCTGGCAGGCGGTGCCGGTGCCGGTGCCGGTGGTTGTGGATCCAAACGACGAGCTGCTTCCTCCGTGAGTGCGTACATCGACGAACCAGTGGTTATGTCATCACCAGTCGACTGTGCCAAATCTGCCGATGCCTTCAGTGCAGCCGTCAGTACAGCGCCTAGTCGCTCGGCATCCGACTGGAAAAAGAAATTTTCAAAAGGAAAATTATTAGATCAAAAAAGAAGTCCTACCATTACACAAAGCAACACATGAGAGGGTACTCGATGTTTTACTAAATGTCTTTTTACTACCGTTTAAATATTCGTAAAATAATCAGACCTGGGAACTCTGATTTCCCAAGATTTTTGATAATCTCCCAAATGAATTAATCCTTTCAAGAATGATGTTTTATGACGCGAGGTTGTTGAAAGAGCAAAGACGAGCAGGCAGGGGTATGTACATAAAATTCGGGCGGACCTAGTCACCATTCGATGGGCGATGCCCGATTAGAGGGGAAATCTTAGCTTCAACAATCAAGGTATACCGTTACTTCTTTTATAATACTAGATGGTAGTATTACCGAATACTGCAAAATTCTCTGACCCCTCAGCATGACCCCCAGCTTTTCTAGCTTCGACAAAGGAGAGCGGATAAAGCAAACGCTGCTCTTCGTTTTCTGGAAATCTTTGAGAGGTGTCGCTAAGTGGGCTCACTTTCTTACAACACGATATCAAACAGTCACAATGTCCTTACGCGATCTTCCTCCCTACAACTTTTTCCAAGACGGGCACCCCAGCAACGAGGTTTGTCAACATTAGCCCTAAATTCTCTCAACCCACTTCGGGATGCTATTTCCGAAAAAAGTCGCGACCACTATAAATACAACGCTGGGAAAGGACAAAAAACCATACAGAAAAGCCGTTAAAGCAGTCTATCTCAACGATATCACTACCGAAGTAGAATAGGAGAAATTCAAGGGGATGAAAATTATTTCTAAAAGGTCTGTAGAAATGTTGTCACCCATACTTAACTCTTGTAGGACGGAATTCAAGAAGAACGGACCTCGCATATGAATCCATGCGTGACCAGATCCTGCGTGAGAGCGTTCGGATCCTCGTCGTGCGAGAATTCTGTGGTGAGCTGTCGATTCATCATGTCTTCCAATTGTAACCATATCGTCAGCTCACTAAATTCATTCAATAATCCCGAAACAGACGTTACGGTATTCCATCCAAAGCGACCAACTTTCTTTCTGTCGTCACACGCATTTGTCGAATCGCTCTCGTTTCACGGTGCTGAACAG